GTTAGTAACAGGGTGGGCGACATTGACACCAACGCACAGTGGTTGGAGTAACAATTAAATGGGGGCGTTTTTCATCACTTAACTGAAGCAGCAATGTTCGGTGGAAAAAAATAGCTAGAAAAGAGTAATACTTAACAAAACATGCGTGTTGATGAAACCCTTGTATTTAAAAGAATATTAAAGAAGAAACTCAACTTTTCGAAAATGTTATTTGCTCAAGAAGAGAAACTCATTCAAAACATTGTGCCACAATTCTGAAGGATATGCCGGCCAACGGCTTAAAACACGCGTTTGTTTTGATTGTTAAACGTGCGAAATGTTGTATGGAACCGGAACATGATTATTTTGAAAGTAAAGTCATTTTTAAAAACGTGCTGTTTACTTCGGGGTGCACTTAAAAGTTACTACTGAGTAGGTCGCTTTTAATTTTAAATATATCATTTTTGGAATGATTTACAAATTCTTATAAAGAGTTTCAAGTAGCTGCCTCCTGAAATGCAATGCAATTTCAATTCTACAAATTGCTTTCAAACTCGTTCAACATTTGTTTGGTGGTTCGCTAACAGGTATTTCTATTAAAAATTTGAAAAGAGCCTATGGCTTATAACATTCTTCTCTTTTTCTGCGGCAGTTTTAAATTATAAATACTTTATTTTCAAAAGTTTTTTGAATTACGGCACTGCAGAAGAAAGTATCTGTGTAGAGTTGTCAGCTTAACGCAATTACATGCATAAACTCACAAGTGTGTTAACTTTAAAAACTCACAGAATCGGCTAAATAATTTATTCAAAAACAATGTATATATGCACGCGATCTTCAACATATTTCCATAACTCTGGTCTGTCACACGGCTTGAATTTCAAAAATCAAAGGTGAACGTTAAAGTTTTCAGATTATTTATTCATTTTTGGAGCGATTTATGAGAAAAAAACGAAGCAAAAAGCCTCAAGTCTTAATAATGAACCCATTATGGTGTTCTATGTGCCACTGTGCGATAGAGGGGCACCCGAATTGGCTCACCACAGATGCTATGCAGTGCAGCTGTGCCGCAGATTGTGGCCTGTGGGGGCACATGCGGCAACTTTCGTTTTGGTTAGGCGGCTTGCAACAAATTTTGGACGGTCATTGCGCCGAAGTCGAAATCAGCGCGCCTGGTCCCGAAATGGCATTAATATTTATGCGTTGCACTTGAGAGCGTATTTCCAGCGCTGCCGCGTTTGTGCGTACGCGTTCGGGCTTCCGCCTATGCTCCTCAAGAAGAAGAAGAAGAAGGGGTGGGCCTTGGCGGGGTGAGTCGCGGTGGATGCTCATCTCTTTGTGTGATGCGTTTTGTTAACAAATCATTGGCCACACGGCCATTGGCTGGTCAAATGCATTATTCAATAATCGCTGATGCTAAGCAATATAATATCATTGCTAATGCCGACGCCAACGCCAACGCCGACGCATAGTATATCCTCTACGCACCGTTAATTTTGCTAATGGGCTGTTAATCATAGCCAGCTGACCAACCCACAATAATATAACAACGCGTTATTATTTCGTTTGGTCTTGGTCTCTGCTGTTTGCAGAAGTGGCCAACACAATTTCAATCATCATCTGCAGTCCAGAGTTGTAATTGGAATTTTATTAGTCGCAGGCGTATCTAATGGGTCTGGTCTCTCCCTCCCAAGTTTTGTTAAGCTTAAGCCAAATGGTCGTGGGCCTGGGGCCCAATGCGTACACAATGAGGAACCATGTACACGTACATACTTGTACATAAGTAGCCTAGCCAACAAACGATTTGTTGGTTGTTGTTGCGTAACGTTTGTCGGCGTATCGCCAAGATACAAATCCCTCAGATGCATATCTTCGCCATTGAAATACCATAATGCCTAACAAAGTGCCAATGTTTCTTTGCTTTGTTAAAACAAAGAAAATTGCATAGTTAATTTTCTAAGCGTGCAGCCTAGCACGAGCTAATTAAACAATTGACAATTGCCATTAATTGTATTGTGTTTACAGTCTCTTACCTTATGGGTACAAGTGTGTTTTAGTTTTTAAAAGTATTCTCCCCATTAATGCTGTCATCGTTATTATTCTTAGAAAATCCTTCTTATATATGCGCGTGTTATATTCTATTAGATAATAAATAAATAAATAAATAAACAGCGCCTTCCTTTCATGAACAAATTCAGGCATTAATAGGGAGTGGTTGATGGCTTAAGTGTGATTTCTTCTTCTTTCAAAAAATCAGTCATAAGTACCTTTTTTTTTTTGGTTATCAGTCAAGTTGTGCGAAACAAAGCATATTTCATCTATTGTCCTCATTCAAGTCATCACGACTGCTTTTAAATCCCCCCCACTCGATGGCTCACCCATCGCTATCAACTTGTTTCCGAAAAAAGTTTTATCGAGTCTAAAACAGAACTCAGTAATTGCTCCGTTTTCGATCGTCTTTTGTTTACCGATGGCCCAAACACACTGTTAACTCGACTTTCTGTTCTTGATTCCTCGTTCAAATCCTACTCTGGAGTATAAAAATACTAAGTATTAATAGTAGCACAATGATAGCGAATAATGTTCATATGACAATGTGCCTATTAAAGCTTTTCTGAATGCCCCACCTTAAAAAATAATTCAATGAATCGTATAAAAAGGATTCAAATTTGTTCAAAATCCAACTTCCTGTACCGATCTTAGATTGTTGCAAGCTACTTAGATAGCTTCCTCTAAAGGTAAAGTTAAATTCTCAATAATTGGTACAGACAATCTTCTAAGAAAGTTAGGCCCTTTTGGAAAGAACTTATTGTAGACTCTGGCATAAAAAGAAATCAACAATGTTTTACTTTTTACGTTTGATTCTAAACAATATTTGTTTTGTTGTTGAAATCGGTTTCTTTAAAACTAATTAGAAACTTTGATTACCAAACATGTTGTTGTTCAAATGCCCAGATTTATTTCTAAAAAAAAGTATTTTATTTTGGAATAGTTCGTCTGTATGTTAAAAATACTCTTACGCTCATTGTAGGTGAGAGATATTTTAAATAATGGTTTTATTGCTATAAATAAGCAAAGGCCGTCCAAAACGGTTGTACCAAATGCTTATAAATCTCGACTAAATGCTCAGAAGGGTATATGCTTATAGGCTCCAAGGTAAACGATAATTGTTTGCTGTCGGAAGAACATCACTTTCTCCATAAAAAAACGTTTCTTTGCCACAATTTTGCGTCTCAGACAAGAGATTTTTTGGTCTTACAGTGCTGATTTAGCACCTAATTACTCCATTTTGTTCCCAAACATTACAAATATTTTACGTATGCTGAAAAAGCCTTTGAAAGGCTTATTTTGTGTTTGTTCTCTATTCTCGAAATAAGTAAGGTCTGCGAAATAAGTGACCATATCAACATATTTTTCTTAATTAAATCAAAAATATTCGATATTTTAAAAATGACAGTCTCAATTCAGTTAATAAATATAAAAGGAAACTTTTTTTAAAATTAAATGAAAATTTTGTTGAACGAAATAATTGACTTGATCAAATTGAAAAAACTATATTTCTGTTTCTATATACATGTGTTTTTAGTTTTCATTTCCTAGATATGTCGTCCATTACTACTAATAACTCTTAATATGCGATCTGACATTGAATTAACTATGTTTTGAAGAACTGATCCGTTCAATTTGGCCCACTCTGTTACTGTTTGGTCCATCTAAATTGAATTTTTTTGGCATTACTGGAAATAATTTTTTTTCCACTCCAGGTACCAAAACTTATGCATCTCCGCAAAGTGCATGCGTTCACATTTTACAGATCTGTTTTCATATGGAATTAATAGATCGGCTTGTTTTGACACGGCGGGCGACCAGAGCGTGGCTTTTTTCGATGGGTCTTTCAAAAACGTTTGTATAGTAAATAAGCTCCTTTGTATTTTGGAAGCAATTTCACGTCAAGACATTCCAGTTTCTCGATATGCTAATATTTTAGTTCTTTCTTTATCTGAAAGGTAACGGCTTTAAGGCATTTCTACTAAAATGATTGCATCTAATCTAATATTCTAAGCCTGAATCAAAGTCAAAACTAGCTGATTTAATTTGTTGAATCACAAATCCCTAAATTTCGATGTAAATGGACCATAAATGCATTGGTACAATGGCAAAAACTGATATGATCAGCTAAATTATTTCGTTGTATGAAGAGAGGCAGCAAAAACTTTCAATTGAAATTATGGTTTTCTGCTTCACATTACTGTTTTAAGCAGGAGAATTAGTTGAAAGCAAACTATGCAAAAAAATGAAGTGGAAGACATAAATGGTATAGCTGTGGCATTGATAAGGTGACTTATTTCGCAGACCTTATGAAAGCCAGTCCTTGTATAATACTTTTTGTATAGATAAATATATCTTTCTGAAATACATCATGGGCTTTGCTTTAATAAGGGTTCGATACAATAAATCATGTTACTGATTATAACAATATGAATTTTAAAATTCGATTCTTGTCAGCTGCGATGCTCCCTTCATTTATAAAAATGTTTTATATATACTATATTTTTAAAGTTTCCAAATTATAGGAATTGCTTGTTTCTCATGATATCGGAATTAAATTTCCTTACTATACTATATATCTTGTTTATTTCGTAGGGTCATCCGAAAACTATTGATCTTTTTTGTTGACAAAAAACTGTCCGTAACATTTTATGCACAATGTTATTTAAAAGCGTATTAACTTTATGTTTATTGTCCGTTAATGTTCAGATCGCTGTAAGCCAGCTTTTTATGCACAATGTTATTTAAAAGCTTATTAGCATTATGTTTATTGTCCGTTAATGTTCAGATCGGTGTAAGCCAGCTTTTTCCAACTTGCAAGACAGACACACAGCCATGGGCCTCTAAAACTGTAGGCAGACGTTGCGTCTTGTTTGCGGTTCGTGTACCAACTAAATGAAAGGTTTTGAATGCACTGCAACAGTATTTATTTATTTTAGAAACTAATACAACATTTGTATTATATTCGTACGATGTTTACACTGCTTTTGTTTCGCATCCAACTTAAAATCGATTACTAACAGCTAATTGAGGTACTGAAATGTACGCGGCGAAGAAAAAAAATTCAAAACACAAACACATTAGCATAAATGACTGGATATTTACATGAAGCGCTTAGTGACTAAGAACGACGCGTCCGGGGGTGGGGAGACCAAACACTGGGAACATGAGGTAACCAAACCTATGGGGTTAATACGGGCAGCTGGGGCAGAGTCGCAGCCGGAGCCGTAAGTGTGGAGCAAGCGAACATGAGCTTAATAAATTAAATTTGTTTGCCGGAACAAAAGCACACAATAATTTTCTAACTAAACGCTACCCAACTAAGCGATTCCCTGGACAAGTCGTTGGGCGGGACCCCCAACGTTGGTTGCTGCTACGAGAACGACACCGGCAGCGGCCACTGTTGCACCGGCATCCTCGCGTTATCCGTCTCATTGATAAGCGCACGTTTGCTGCGCCACTGCTGCGAAGGCTGCGCCTGCGGCCCTATGCTCGGTGTAAGCCACAGCTGCTTAATGAGATCGGCGCCCTTCTCGGCGATCATCACGACGGGCGCATGGATGTTGCCATTCGTGATCGTCGGCATGATGCTGGCGTCGATGATGCGCAGTCCGGGAATGCCGTAGACCCTTAGTTCTGGGTCTACAACCGCCCACGGATCAGATGGCGGGCCCATCTTCGCCGTGCCGGACATGTGGTAGATGGTCATCGTATATTGCCGTATAAAGCAGTTCCAATATTCGTCGGTGTACAGGGGCAGGTGCTTGCAATTGGGCAATGGCTTGTTCCAGAAGCGCGCGCCGAACCGCTTCATAGCCTGTGTTTCGCCCATGGCCACCGCGGCCTTGACACCTTCCCGCAGCACGTTCACATCGTCCGGATGAGTGAGGTAGTTGTGGTAGAGCAGCGGATAGCGCAGCGGATTTTTCGAGGCCAACTTGATGTAGCCTCGGCTTTTGGGGCGCAGTATCATGGGAAAGATGCCAAATACATCTCTATTGTTCACCTCGGCAAATACTTCCTGGTAGAAATCATCGCTGAGTCCGTGAGCCGTCTTCACCTGCGTCCCGCCGTCTGACATAACCGAAGCCGAGGTCATCATGAAGTTCATGTCGGGCCAATCATCACTGTAATTCGCGTACTTAGTGTTTATGAAGGCCACCGCCTCCAGTCCAATGCTGGACGTGAGCGGGCCATCTTCAGTAATGGCGTACCGCAGCGCCGAATTGATGTTCACCATACGCTTCATCACAATCGATATGGGATAGTCGATCAGGAAGGCAATGCCACCGACCGCAATATGATCCTGCAGATTCTGACCCACGCCCGGCGCATGCTGCACCACTGGAATGCCCACACGGGCCAGCTCATCAGCTGGCCCCACGCCCGAGAGCATCATTAACTGTGGGGTGGCAAGAGCGCCGGCGGCCATCACAACTTCACGTGTGGCATAGACATTCTGTAAGCGCCCGTCCCGGATGAATTGAACGCCGGTGGCACGTTTGGTTCGTGGATCCGTAAGCACCTTTGTAACATGCGCGAAAAGCGCAACATGCAGGTTGGGACGTAGGCGCGCCGGTCGTAGAAACGACTTGGCCGTAGAGCTGCGAGAGCCACGTCTCATGTTGAATTGGTAGAAGCCGAAGCCCGTCTGCTGTGGACCGTTCACATCCACAATGTCGTAGCCCATTTCCTCGCCGGCCTGCAGAAATGCCGGTCCAATGGGTGTATTATAAGGCGAGTCCTGCACAGTCCATAGACCACCTGAAACAAAGCGATCAAGTTATAAGCAATTCTCCAGACGTCGAACTATATTGTCTGCTCACCTGTGCCATGGTAGCGTTTATTGCGCGCCAAATACGGATTGCGCTGATCCTCTGACTTGCGAAAGTAGGGCAGCACCTCCTCAAATGACCAGCCCGGATTGCCAAATGACGCCCACTGGTCGAAGTCGCGCCGATTCCCCCGTATATACAACATCGTATTCAACACCGAACTGCCACCCAAGACTTTACCGCGAGTCCAACAACAGCGTTTATCCTTCATCGCCTGACATGCGGTTGCCTGTGGTTGGGTGCTGCAAAGCAGAAACCATAAAAGGTGGAAGAGCATTAGTACAGTAAAGGGTAATTAATACTTATGTCAATGAAGCCTATCATAGAACTCTATTTTATATGATAGGCTATTCAGGGTTGATCTCAGAGGGCTACGTAGAAGCATTGAAGGTCTCCAATAAGCATTCGAGAGAGCTGTTAAGATGTGGAGACTTAAATTCTTTACTCTGAAAAAATTATTTAATCTGCTCATAAAACGGTTTTGTTGTAGATCATGAATACTTCATTCCCAAATTCTACGAATGTTATATTCCTTGAAGGACAGGTCTAACAGTTGAAGTCTCTCTAGTTTCCTGTTGGTGGTACTATTGTCAAGTTGATTTATGGCCAAGTTCGTGCTGAGTCTTGCTAATTTACAAGAATATATGATATAAGGAACACCAACTTATTGAAAAATATCGTGGATGTCATATGTCCAGATTGGCTTAAGGATACTCTTTTATAGTGTAGTCAGCGCTTTACTTCGGCTCTCAATCCAAACTGACTCGAGCATAATTTTATTCGTTTATATTCTCTTATTCTATGCTCTCTCTTAATCTTAAATATATGTAAGCATATGTACAGTGGTCTTACGTGCTAACTATATTGCTGCAATAGTAATAGCTTGTTTCTTAGTTTGAGCTTCGATTTTGTGGCCAAGTTCTTTGCCGCTTCCAGATGGGTCTTCTGTCAAGGATATGATATGATGACCCAGATATTTGATTACGTCCACCACAGAAATGGGAGCGGGATTTAGGCTGACTGGGAAACAGTTTCGTCTTGAAGAGCAGGACTGTATTTCAACTGAGAAGTCAATTGCCGAAAGTATCTCAAAATGTGAATTGAAAAGTTTCCCGGAATTCTATTCTACTTGGATTCAATATGTATATCTTAAAAATTATACACAAACCACCAACAAACTCAATCTTTTCTCTCCACATATTTCCATATTTTTAGTAAACATGCTTGGAATACGCAAATTTAATTTCAATTTGTTAAATCTTTTGAAGAAAGCTGCCAAGATTTTTTAACTAGGAGGCTTAAGTTAAAGTCTGCAGATGGGAAAATGGGAATTAAAGGTTTTCATAATAGCTTACTGTTTTGTGGTTGTGGTTGTAATTGTTGTTCCCAGCTGGGTATCACAATAATTAACCATGACCCCAAGGCTGCCACACCAACTAACATGTTAGAAAGGTCGTTTAAACTATTAAACGATTTCAAAGAAAGACAAACAAACAACAAAAACCTCTTTCAAACGTAAGGTAGATAAGTAGTAGAAATAATAAGACAAGCATTAAGTAAATTTGTTAGCTGTGCGCTTGCGGCATTAATCAGCGAAAACCCGATGTGAAAAAGCTATAATGAAAGTGAATTAGCCAAGTGACAGCGCCCTCAAATGGCTGGTAACCCCGCAGCTTACATTGTCTGCCATGGTCATGATTTGGCAAAAAAAGAACTGCTGCACACTGGCATGGTCACTGACAAACCCAGCAGCGCAGCAGCAGCAGCAGTCCGGCTACTGGCCAACTTAATTACAGCATAACTGACAACGTTGCCGAGTGTTAAACACTCATTAGACGCGTCGGCACGAGCTGCTGGACTCGACACGTAATCCCAATTCAATAGAAACGTTGATCGCCCACATGGTCGGCGTCGGGGAAAAGGGCTCTGGCTTGGAGTGTCAACATCTTTATGGCTGCTGAGAGAGCCATTTAACTGCCACAATTGCCTTGGCGCGCACATTACAGTGAAGTACAAGTACTCGTACGTCAACAATCGATTGCCCAAGCGATGAAGTGTTAAAAGACAACTCTGATAAGGCAGCAAACGTGACAAGCTCTGGCTTAGCAATTGCATATTGAGGTTAAGATTTATTAGAGTCTTTGCTAATAGTTTCAATTTGAATGACATAATGGCTAGAGTTGAACGATAATGGGAAGCTATCATTGGAAAACACCAAACACTAATTACTCATTAATATTGGAAGCATAATGCGGTAAATGGCATTAGGCTTACACGCTTTGAAATCAGTTGAGAGAGAAAAGTAGAATATAGCAAAAAATCAAACGATAAAAGTCTAGTAGCTGAAAATATTTTAGATTCGAAATAAAATTTGAAGTTTTCAATACATTTCAAAATATAGCATCAATGAATTGTCAGATTAATAAAAAAATCTTTAAGCCATTAGGAAACAGTAACGTTTCAAATTGAACAAGTTTTAACGAATGATTTGTAGAGATTGTAGTATCATCTGAGCTAATTGTAAGTTCATGACCTTTTACCGGACTATGGCCCATTTAGGCACTTAAACGATTGGCACTATGCCATCGCAACGTGTATCGATAGTCGAAGATCTTGGGCTAATTTTCGATTACAACTTCAAGGCTACTTTAACAAACAAAGCCAATGTTTATTCAATGATCCTTATAGAAAAAAAAACATTTATACACTTTTCTAAGTAGTATGCAGAACAAGATTGAGATTGAGACAGACCACATGATATTCCTAATTTAGCCTTTCTATGGATTCAGCTGGAAACTTTTAAGCGAGGACTGTTCTTTTTGTCGTTCTTCTGCACAAGATGTAGACTCCTTTGTGCGATGTAGACTCCTCTGCCCTCTAACGTCATCTTTACTTTTCAACCCCAATTCAACATGCAATTATTATCCATTGATCTGGTTTTTTTTTTAAAGCTGGTGTTTAACAGGATATGTCAACCACAAATCAAAGCCAATTATTTATTATTCATTAAAAAAAAAACTAGTTAAACACGCCACACGTCGTGCTATGCTAAAACTTCAAGTTTAGTTACTAAATAAAAGAGACCAATGAAGAATTCAGCAATCAAAAAAAATTAAGGCCACACTAATTTATTTAAGAATTGAACCGGTTACAATTTTGTTGGAGCTCGATTTTTTGGCAAATAAATGCAATGTATTCAGAAATTTGTTCCATTCACAGCTTATCAATAAACATCAGTTAAACATTTCCTCAGAATCCGCTAAAGCTGTACCTTTCGGATCACAGATCATTGCCAAGCACAATTTATATCGCAAGTTGCAGCAACAAGTTACAAGCGCGATTGTTAAAAAGTGTTGCGAAACAAACTGTCATATTTTCACTTATAACTAGTCACAAAAATGTTTGTACAAATTTATGTATAGTATGTATGTATGGACGTGTTCGGCTGCCTGGTTCATCGAGACATAGCATACATACTTGTATGTATTTGGCATTTGCATTGATTTTGATTAAAAGTGGGAAATAAAACCGGTACCAGAATTGCGACCGAAACAATTATTTCGTTTCGTCAGCTGTAATCAAAAACAAAAAAAAGCAAGCTCTTAAATACCTTGCGACAAGGTTGTTAACAGCGTATACTTAGCAAATTATCGGCGACACTGTTTGATGGTCGGTTTGAACGCCGAGTTTTTCAAGAGTAGATAATTGGTGAGTCTAGTTCAAAAATTAACTCAGAAATGTTAAGTTTTAATTGAAATGTTCGTAAGAATTGTTCTTAGACCTCCACTAATTTGCCGAATCGAGTCTGCTGCAGACAAAATTTAAAGTCTGAATACCATCCGGTAGACATTAATCGAGTCTTTTGCAGTTGAGAATGTAGAATACTTGAATTTAAAATGAAATTGAAAATATTAAATTGAAATTGCAAATAATATTATTCGAAGGATGTTGCCGAAAACAGCGTATGTCTTACAAAATAATTTGATAGTTGATAAAACTGTTTAGAAAACTTGAATTTCCTTCTAAATAAATTTGAGAATTTAGATGATTCAAACGTTGCTCGAGAACCTTCAATGGACTATCTCTAATAACACAAATATGGACGCAATAGATATGCAGACGTGAAATTTATGCAACTCGTTTGGAAATGGGTCTGCTGCCGACCGTGTGAACACGACACCAATTCTCTGTAAACACACAACACCTGCACGATTTTTTACCATGCCAACTGTCTGCCGTAGTGCGAACATACTTGTACAACTGTGAGTGTTATAATTGTCTGTCTGCTGTGGTCTTAATTGTGTAAAATTATTTGTTATTCAACAACATTTCCAGTAAAAGTAAAAAAATTGTATTTCCTTCTTCTTCATTGAGATTCTTAAAGTGTTAATATTCTGCAGATGACTAATTTGGATTACTTGTGATTGAGCTTGCCACTTAATTAGCAATTAATAATAATTAATGAATATATAATTATAAAAAGTAAAAAGTTAATTTAATTAATTAAATATTAAAAAAACCGTTTGAGTTTTCAACAAAATTGGTCTAAGATCGCACTTAAAAAGAGAAGCATTTGTGTAAAACAAAAATAAATATTGGCGAGTCGTATTAAATGTTGAATCAATAAGTGGAAAGCAAAAAATAATAAGAATATTTAAATAATTTAAATTTGAACATAAAGAAATGTTGTTCTTCTATTTAAAGCTGTGATGTTGAAATGTATATGAAATTCTATAGAAGTTCAACTATATAGTTCGGAATTGATCAAGAAATATAGTTCTTTATCCATGTATATGCTTGGTGCTTTTGTTCCGCTGCATTTTAAAAAGTGTTGAGAATAATGTTGGAAACTTCAAGATGACACTCAAAGTATACAGTTAATATAAAGGTATATTACGAAATATATATATAAAGCTCATAAATATTCTACAACGATACTGTAGTTCGTAGTAACTATTTTTGGTAGAATCTAGAATCTATAAGCTTTGGGATAATAGTAGAAACGCTTTATAGTTAGGAAAATTGTTAAGAGTTTCTTTGTAAGCATATTCCAGAAATTGATAGAAGTTTGTGAGTTAGCTTTTTAGGTATATGAGTGTTCAGAAGCTTATGCGCGTTTTTGAAAGAGTTTTAAAAATGAATTCAGAGCTGTAGTAGAGTTTAAAAGAAGCGCTTTGAAGGAATTTAATTTTATAATTTTGTTAAGAACTTTGATTGAAGCATACTTATTAGAGAAACTTTC